TTTGACTTTTGTAACTGATCCAATGCATACATTAACACACAACTCACGTAAATATTTATCGTATGAAAATGCATTACATTGACCTTATTATTCTATATTTATTTATTTCAATAGACTAAAAATACTTTCAATTCGTGTGTGTTGAGGCTTTTAATATTTTTATAATGTACTGATAATTGAATGGTTTGAATGGGTGACTGAATGACGAATCAGTTTCTATGCGAGGATCGAGTGAAACTCGTTTAGACGCCAAATTGCTTTTTTGACGTGTATCATGCAAATACGATCTGACACGATTTCCTCCTTCGATGGAACAAGATGACAAGGCGTGCAAAATTCTCAGCGCGCGGCGAATGCGAACAAGAGCAACGGACCGACATTGCAACAGCTTATGGATGGCTTAAATTCAAAGTATCCGCGATAAAAGCAGCGAGAGCAGAGCGAAGAAAAAAAAAAGGCGCACGCAGCGATAAATTCCGAGTGAATTCGATTTATAGCAGTCGCATTCACCGAATAAAATGAAATGAATAATGAAAGCATAACTTGTTTAGTGTTTGTGATTGTGGATGCGCGCTAAAAATGAGAGGAAACTAATTACAAACTTTGCGTCGTTTGATCCCAATGCGCCACAAAAACTTTTCTGATTCAATTGTCTTGTAACTCGCTACAGTTTACTTCCGCGGGGTGCCACGGGTGCGAATTAAATTGTTTCGGGAAATAAATTAGAAAAGTTGGTTATTTCTTTAGTGAATTTCGGGGAATTTACATTTATAACATGTATGAGTAGTGGTTTTTTGTGTGTGTTTTGTAGTTATTTTTCTGCTGGGTTTTATTTCGACTTTGAAACGATCAATTCTTCTTCGTCGCAGCTTATTACTTTGAGTAGAAGGCGGACGGCGAACGCTGGAATTGTATGACAGAGATTTTTCATCATTTTCCACGCCACATTTACGATATTTACGATATTGTGTGCGCAGATCGTTGACTTATACAAAACACAAATTCACAGGGTGATAACAATTCTATTTTCTTATAAAAAAATAAAATACATGAAATAAATGAAAGTAGAAAGGAGTTACCATGTTCTAATTCCATTTCCGTATCTTGTAATCTTAAAATCTTATTTCAATTGAATCTAGTTGAGATTTTTTTCTTTTTTTGTTGTAAAAAGTGTGTTTATAGAGGTAATTCGTTATGTAAATTTAAATTATCTTTATTTACTTCCTTTGAGATCTAACGGTGTTTTTCCTCTCTGTACGCTTAACATCTTGCATAATTTTAACGTTTAATACAGATCAAAGTAGGATGGAAGCTCTATCATTGTGTGAAACGTGAAAATCAGCTTTAGCCAAATTGTAGTGTTGGCTCTGCCGAACAACAACTTTTAATAACCCACATACATACTTTCTTTCCACGAGTGTTGCGAAGGTCGAATAAATGTGAACGATGTGAACGCACGGGCGATAGTTCCGTGGCACCGAGATAAATCATCTTGCTTTCAATTCTGGCACAATACGAGTAGAGCACGGAGCACGGAACTTATTGGGAGCCGGAATCAGGACAGAAAGAGTACGAGTACTTCTTGGAAGTTTGGTTTGGTTTTGGTGAATTGACTAAAGCGATGTTTCTGATAACTAACGGTCGGGTATTTCGAATGAAAGTGGAGGTGTAGGTGCTCAAGTGTTACTATATTAGAGTTAATGAATGAATGAAGGTGTAATAATACTTGCTATATTTTTATAGTCATTAGAAGTGCAGTAATAGTATTATTACGAGTGTTATTTGAAGCGGCACTAGAAATACGTAAAAACGTCTTTTTTGCGTTAAAAAAATTGAAAAAATTGAAAATATTCTTTAGCCATAAGACGTGCAATTAAATTCTCTTTCTGATAGTATATTTGAAAATTTTATGCAATTAATATTTTCGGAGATATTGCATTTTTTTAAAAGTATTATTACAAGTGTTATTGAAGCGGTACTAGAAATACCTAATTAAAAATTAGGTTTTTGCTTTGAAAATTGAAAAAATTAAAAATATTCTTTAGCCAAGATATGCGCAATTAAATTCTCTTTCTGATAGTATATTTGGAAATTTTATGCACTTAATATTTTCCGAGATATTGCATTTTTAAAAGTATTATTACGAGTGTTATTTGAAGCGCTACTAGAAATACTTAAAAATTAGGTTTTTGCATTGAAAATTGAAAAAATTAAAAATATTCTTTAGCCAAGATATGCGCAATTAAATTATCTTTCTGATAGTATATTTAAAAATTTTGTGCAATTAATATTTCCTGAGATATTGCAGTTTTTTTTAGAGTATTATGACGAATGTGATTTAAAACGCAACTAGAAATACCAGAAGAAAACATTTTTTTTGTGTTTTGTGTTTAAAAAAAATTAAATATATTTTTTTGTCCTAAGATGGACAATTAAATTATCTTTCGTCCAGTATATTCCTCAATTTTGTGCATTTAATATTTCCCGAGATATTTTAGTATGTTTAAAAAATTTTATGCAAAAGTTATTGAAAAACCGCATAAAACAAAGCAAAATCATTTAAAATCAATTTAATTTGTCGATTCTTAAAATTTTATAGCAAATAAACATTGTTTAATGTTTATTATTGTCATTCCAAACCGCAAATACTCTTAACCTATTTTAATACCTTTTTTTTAACATGTTTAAAGCACTTGTCTAAAATTTTCATTTAAACTCGCAATAAACTTTAATAACCCATAGCATCGCAATCGTTAGTGGTCGCGGAAATGAATTGTCATAAATTGCTGCGCACGTTCCTCTTAATTTAAGCGTGCGTACCGCACCGAAGAGACACTCTCGAGGGAGCGATAAATTTCCTGAAACAACCGACGAAACACTATACTGCTAGTACGAATACATCGACAACATTCAACATCGAACAACTTCAACATCCACTTTGTGATATTGCAACAATGAACCTACTTTTCCTATATTGGTAGTATATTTACACTAAGAAATCCAAAAATAACGCGCCATGTAATTAATTACATAAGTAATTAACTAATTAATATTTTATTAAATGTTATGTCCCAGCTGATCATGTTGGTTAACAAGGTGCGGTCGGTGCGGTCGAGTGAATTCACGTTTCACATCCACCCTAGAGTGTAGTGATAATGATGATGGCGGCAATGTCAGAAGGGATAAACATAGTGCACATGTAGGTTTAGCTGCTGTCGAGTGTGGGTGGCATTTCAGAAATTCGTATATGGTGCATTAAATATTTATCATGTACTTTTATATCTAGAGCAAATACACGATACATTTTGGATAATTGAAATTGAATAATATATTAGAAAGAAATTTTTGGGAACATTTTTTTATTTTTATCTTCAAAACAATTTTTCCATGGTTTTGAGACATGAAAAAGGATAATTTAATCACGGATGGTCAAAATCGTGGCTAAAGTACTTTAGTCACGGGTTTTAGTCATGGCTGGAAGCTTATACTATTAATTTATTAAAGCAAAACTTTTTCCACGGTTCCGAGTCGCCAAAAATTATATTTTAATCACAGTTTGCCAAATGCCGTGACTAAAGTACTTTATTTACGGGTTTTAGTCGCGGGGTAGAGGCTCCCAAGTGTCACTTAATACTTAATATAATATTTTTCTACTTTCACTTCTAAAGCACAGCTTTTTCCATGGTTTTGAGACACAAAAAGTGGGACTTTAATCAGGAACGCCCGAAACCGTGACTAAAGTACTTTAATCACCAATCGTAGAATATGAGCAGAATAAAAAAAAAAAACAAAAAAATTACATTGCTAATCGTGGTTAAAGTGCCACTTAGCGCACTTGATATTTAAGATACTATTTTCACGTTTTTAAAACAATATAAACCCATAGTTAATACATCAATGGATAATTATTATAATTCGTTAATTAAAATTCATGTTGAGTTGGTGCTCGACCCGGAATTTACTCCACTTGACTCTTCTGTGTTCGGCTCGGCTGTCGTTTCTAAATTGCTATAGCCTCTTGCGACTTTGCGACGTATTGCTTTGGAGAATTTGCATTTTCTAAATAAGCGCGCGCGCGAATTTACATTCATATTTCGGAATTAATTAAAAGTGCTTCGGGAATGCGCGCGCCCGCAAATCCCGCACGATAACATCGCCCGCCGGTCGTGATTTTCTGGTATTCCCCCGATTCGCGATACGCGCTTAGTAGCTCACTATTTAAATCGCGGTCGGCAACCAACTCTACCCCAAAGGAATTCACACCGTCATTAGCCTCCCCCATATGTGTGCAAATACTTTAATTACGCGTATTTTCATCTAAACACACTGTAGATACATTAAAACATGCATTTCTAAACTAATTTCATAAAAGGCTTCACACCCTGAATAATTAATTCAAATTTCCTGCTTGATGTACTTATGTTTTCCGCCCGAAATTTGACGTCAAAAAGTGTTGTTGTTTACTTTCGATAAATCATCGTTTTCACACCGAAATGAAGTGAATGAAGTGTGCCGAAAACGAATTCTAAGCGTGTGATTTATTTCCTGAGAAAATAACAAAACTATGTACCAACATATTCTATAAAAGATTTTTTATTATTTTATTTTTATTTTATTTTTAAAGATGTTGTTTTGATTTGACCGAGATTTTTTCACATTTCACATTTCACATTGCGTTAATAAGGATTCGTTTTATTTGATGAATACTTTTAGTGCTTTATATTATGCTTTATTATTATATGTGTGTTATTTTTTCGCTTCATTACTTTGGCTGATGCGATGTTTGTTTGGTTCGCGTTTTCGGGAGGAAAGTGGGTTAAATTCGGCGCGTTCGTATTAATCGACGTAATCGAGTATAACACGGATTTCTGGCTTACTTCGCGCCGGCTCGGACTCGTTATGAATAATGCGCGAGCATTCCGAATCGAATTTTAGTGTTTTCCCAGTTTAGTATGCTTAGACATGCATGAGTGTAATGTGTGTTGCATACGTTAACAGCTTTATAACCTTTACAACATCCTCGGCTATTTTCAGCTAAATTATTTAATAAATTAATTTAATTAAGCAGGTGGTCTTGGTTAATATAATTAACTCATTCGAGGTTGACTTCTTCGTCTTTTGTCGGGCTTCGTCTTGGTGCGTTTTACGACGCTTTCTAAAACCAGCGCGCGCGTATTTTATTTTTATTCGTTGTTTTATGACCACGACGAGGATTCGTTTTCTTTCGGGGTTAAGTGCGCCGGCCGGCTTGTGATGAAGGTATACAACAAGCGCAAGAATGTAACGTAAGGAAATCAGAAGATATCCGCGCCGAAATAAATAAAACTTTATCGTCCACTTTGTTAGTAATACTCTGTATGCGTCGCTAATGGCGGAGTGACATCTGGCGGCCATTTTAAGATTAAACCTAACCTCAAATTAAATTTTTTATTTTTTTTGTTTTTTAGATAAATGATAATGGCCATAAATCATTGCTGAAGATACAAGATGGAACAATGGAAGCGTCGACGCCAGCAACAAATCACAATCTTTATCCTGCTGGCAGTGTTTGGTCTTGCAAAGAGTACAAGCTGCGATGATGCGCCGATTGCAATGTCGCGGCTGGACCGCGAACTCACCGCTTACGTAGATAAAATTTTTAGTGTAGATAATGTCACGGTGATGCCGGGCGTGGGCATCGAGCGGGTGCAGGACAATGTTGAGAGTGATAGAAGTGAATTTAGTAGGAATTGCACGCCTACGCACGCCGTCGAGGATTATTTTTATGAAAAATGGAACGATTTCAGTGAGCGGCATGTTGTTTCGCTGAATTTACCTCAAACGGCGAGATTCCTCCAGAGTATGTACCAAAAATTATAATATTAAAGTATATTAAGTATCTAGTGTGCTAAGTGGCACTTTAACCACGGTTAGCTACATTTTTTACTTTCACTTTATTTCCATGTTTAGTTTTTGTATTTGAATTTTTTATTTTAAAACTTTGAGTGTCCTGTGACTAAAACCCGTGACTAAAGTATTTTAGTCACGGTTTTGGCCATTCGTGATTAAAATACCACTTTTTGCACCACAAAACCGTGAAAAAAGTTGAAAAACATTTTAAACATTTATTTTTCATATTATTCAGATCGTAAAAGAGAAATTTTTGTTATTTTTATTTTTTTATAATTAACATGAACCTACACGTGATTTTTCCACTTTTTAACCTCGCGTGTTGCGTTGATAAATAATTAAAACATAAAAATACTCATATTAACTTTTAACCATCCATCAAAAGCGATCAATCGATCAATTAAAACTTTTTTGTTCAGGTACTGGGAAAAGTTCGTTCCTAGCAGGTTTTGGCATGGGTTTTCTCGCTTTCGCGCTAAAAAAGTTGCTGCTTCCGGTGTTTATCGGCGCGCAGCTGGTGAAGTCAGTGCTGATCGCGATGTTCCTGCCATCGCTCCTCGGCAGCCTTGGCAAAATCGTCGGTAAAGGACTCTCGACCTTCTCAGGCGTATCTGGTGCCTCTGCAGGCCTTGGCGGAGGCGGTCAGCAGCCAGTAGAAGATTTCGAGTTCAAAGACACCGGCGCATACAACAACAACAATAATGAACCGGCTGAATCCAGTCTGACTCTAAACGTTGCGTCGAGCTCTGAAAGTCCGCAGGAAGCAATGAATAGGTATTATATTTTTGTTAAATTAATTACACCATTAGAGATAACAATAAAGTCGAGCTTTTGTTGTGTTGTGGATTTTTCTAAAGCTTTTGTGTAAATTTTTTGAAATTTTATTTTAAACGCTTTGTGTGTTTTAGATTCGGTTACGGGAACAATCGCATCTCGGATAATTACTACCTGCGTCAGCCGAACAAGAAGACGGATTACAAAGTTTTCCACAAGATACCGACGTCGTCGCTGCTGCTGACGACCTACGATCCGTTCTACAGTCCGCTGTTGTCGCGCCTCGACGCCGTCTTTCAGCAGCTGGGTTTGGGCAACACAAAAGCGCGCGATGCCGAAAAGTGTCGCGAGCGACTAGTCTGCATGATGTATGCTAATCCGGCCAAGTATGCGCCGTACAGCAATTTGATTTCGGCTCAATTAAGCAGGTAATTACTCACGGTGCAATTTGTCTGGCTTTAAATCGTCCTAGACCGGATTAAATTTACTCAAAGCGGACAAAAACTGCTTTATAATGCATAAAGAAATATTAGGTTTTTGTATTCAAACACATGGCACACAATTTTTTTTTCTATTTTTGTTTTTCCGCTCGAGAAGAAAAAATTACAGTTTTTTATGTGAAATAGCAGTTTTTGCCAAAATTGATTTTTTTGTTACTTTTTTTCGAGCTTTAGAGTCAAGAAATTTAATTTTTTTCTATTTTTTTTTTGCCAAAACGTTTTTTTTCAAAAATTTTTTTCTAATTTTTTTTGCAAAAACGTTTTTTTTTCTAATTTTTTATTTATTTTTGGCTAAAAATTTAAAAATTTCTAGTTTACTTCACTGTTTCTAAGCTATTATTCGACAAAAACTTTTTTTTATCATTATTTTTTGCAAAAAACTTATTTTTTCCAAAAGTTTTATTCAAATTTTATTTTTTTCGCCCTAGGGCCCAAAAACAAGTTTTTTCTCATCTAAAATATCTATTTTTACAAAAATTCATGTTTTGACATTTTTGCAAAAAAATTGATGTTTTGCAATTGATTTTTGCAAAAAAGTAACTTTTATTCCCAAACACTCCTGTTTCAAAATGAAAATCGTATGATGAATTGTAAACGCTAGAGGTATGTTTTGGATTGTGATAAAACAACATCAACAACGACGTCGACGCTTGACGAGCGAATAAATGAATCAGCGCGAAAAGTGTTTTCGATACACTCACACACTATCCACCGGCTATACGAGTAGAGACTAGCGAGAATTTCCACGAAGTGGCGGTGGAATCGATCGTCCAGCCTCCGGCCGGCGGCCGTCAAGCCCGTCATTGAAGGGAATGTTGCTGATGTCATCGCGTGTCCTTAATATCAGTAACGTCAACAGCATCGGGCGCTGATTTTTGTGGAGACTCGCAAAAAATACACAAAAGCATTCAATTCTCTAAAAAACACCAAAAAAATCTCCACTACACTCGCGGTAATATTTTCAACAAGCGCGTTGTTTTAATTTATCAGATTCATCATCCTGTTGTGTATTGGATTCTGTTATTATTTAACGGTTGATGACTTTTGTTACATATCCGGACGCGGTTGGCACTACGCGGACATGCCGATAATAAATCATATTTTATTGCAGAGCTATGTTTTATCGACACGAGGAAAAAATCTAGCAATTTATATACGTAATGAAATCGTAAACTACGCAATAAAATCGTCTAAAATATCTTCCTCTACCAGATTTTCAAATATTTTTATTTATTTTCTTATTTTTATTACAGGGAGCTCAACGAGTTGCGAAAACCATCCTCAGACAATCCGGAGATTCTGCGCTTCTTTAAATATATGAAAGCGGCGAAAGATGGCCAAGATGGCGAGGAGTGCTTGGCGCACACAGGATGTTCATCCTTGCAGCGAGTAAATTCTAGTCCTGCGATGCTCACCACATTCAACGATATTAATAAACTTGTACAGGCTAGAAATCTACACTAACGCAAAAAAAAAAAATGGCGTTGGTGTTGTGGCGCCATCTAGTCCCCGCTAGCTCAAACCAACTTATACATTCGAACATGGCGGTTTTATCTTAAATCTGGATGAGTTTTTTTGCAGCTAAATATTTACTATAATTTTTACTACTTGCAAGTTCAGCAAAAATTTTTCTGAAAAGAAAAAAACAGAAAAAAAATTTGCTGATTTTGTGACGTGTAAATAACGACAAACGGAAAACTAAAAAATATTTCATTTCATTTTTCTTGATAACTTGTATCTTTGCTTGATATTTATTGCTACTTATTTATTTATTTTATTTTATTTATTTAGTTTAGTTATTTATTGAAATACGAATAGACAAAACTGTTTTTTGAACATAACGGCATTGTAATGATATTGTTAGTGTGTGTAAAAATAAAGATTTCGTATCGGAGTGTACTATTGTTGATTGTTAATTGTTAATTGTCTTTGTTAAAGTACTAAATTTGCATTTTTGATAAGCATATCAAAGGAAAAGAAAGTTTTTAGAGCACATGCTTTGATATTGCACGTATTACGTAAAAATTACACTGTGTAAGGTTGGATTTTCCAAAATGTCATTTAACACCCGGATCTTTCAACTTTCTCTTCACGTCTTCGCGTTTTTACGGTTAATTCATATTACATCAAGTTAAATGAACTCCACGACTGCAGGAAGATCATTAAGATGAAGATTAGCAAACGCAAAAATAGATGAAAGTGAATTCGTCCTCGGTTTTTCCAATTTAAAAGTCAAAGTAGTTTAATTGCATTTCTTCAAAATGACATAACCTTTCATCATCATTCTGAGATTTGTAACACTTTTGTTTACTCTCTTACTACATTGGCCCACCGAGTCAAGTACAATGTCTTTTGAGTAGTGAAAGTAGAGTGGGTTTTCACAATTACTTAATCTGGAATAACCCCGCACCTCCACGGCGCCTCCACCCTACATATAAAAACAAAATCTCTTACCTACTAAAACACATTCAAACTTAAAAGTTGATCCTGTCAACTACACAATTGTGTATATTAAGTTGCATGCATATAAACACGCAGAATACCCAAAGACTTAACTTAAGTCATATGGCTTAAGACTTAAGTCAGTCCCGGTGTGCTTGTATCAATACTGTTATTTGACCTAGCACGTTTTGTTTACCGCATAACCTGTACAGCGAGCGCGCGTGGAAGACATCTCTCAGCATTCGAGTGGAGTCAAGTGAAGCTCGGCGGCGTTGATATCCGATATCAACAATTGTGATACTTTGTGCATAATTGGTGTGAAGAGAGAGGAAAAAAAATGCCACGACGCGCGGTGATATGTTTGTGTTTGTTGTTGGTACACGCGCTGCCGCCATCTAATGGCCAGCAAGTGGTCAGTGATGGTGTGGAGGACGAACGTCAAGGTAAGATGACACCTGATATCTTAATGTATCAGCAAACATGCACGAAATTCGATGTCGTAATAAAAATTTTATTGTAAAATGGATAAAAACGTGATGTGAATTTAAATTTTTAAATAAAAAAATTGGAGGAAAATCGTTTTGGAATTCTTCTATACGCTGCAATACGAATTGGATTGCGATGTGTGGTTGGAATTTCAATGCGACGTATTTAAATAAATAAATAACTCACCGTCGTCGAAATATTCCGAGGTACATTTTGTTTGCACTTTTCGCGCGTGTATTTGCACTGCAAAGAAATGGAGACTTGTCGCCGGTGGATTTTTGTTTGATTTGCTTTTTTCGGTTTTTGCTTCCAGGACGAAATCTATTGGACTGGATCGGGCTGGGGACGGGTGGAAACAACGATCCGTACTTGTCCAGAGCAAACGCTGCCTGTTTGAATGGAGATCTTGCGGAATGTTTTAAATCCAGAGCTTTGAATACGTTTGATGAGTTTTTTGACGCTACAAAGGTATATATTAGTTTTTTCTTAATGTTTTGTGTGTATTTGGTTGCATATATTGTTGTTTTATGTTTTGTTTTATTTTAAGGATTCTGTTCAATTAACTGAAAGTGCAAAAGTTGTCCGAATGCCTGATAATCAACTGCGAGCCATTGAACGTGAGCCGTTTGAGTTTTCTCAAATGCCACGTGCCGATGAACCCGAATGGGACCAGCTGGTTAAATTTGTAATGCGTAAAGTGGAAAAATTCATGAAGTCAACAGCGTTGGAAATTTCCGTTGATAACGAAGTGACTGAACATGGCAGATATACTCCGAGATTCGTTGATGAAATCGCTGATGAAATTGACGTCATTGAAGACAAGAGAGATACTTTATTCAGTAAGGCATTAAAAATCACCTAAAATAGTATATTAAGTATCAAGTGCGCTAAGTGACACTTTACCCACGTTTAGCCACGTGATGCTTATGACATTTTTTTAACTTCCACGTAATTTTTCCGTTTTGCGTTGCATTTAAAATCACTTACGACCAAACGCAAGCGCAAGTTCCACCCCGTGACTAAAAGCCGTGACTAAAGTATTTTAGCCACGGCCATGACTAAAATAAAACTTTTTGTGTCTCAAAACCGCAAAAATCGTAAAAACAAAAAAATATGATTCAATAACCAAATTTATTCTTTTTTTAGATCGTAAACAATTGAAGAAACTCTTCATCCCACTCCTGCTGGTATTGAAAATCTTCAAATTAAAGCTACTGCTCTTTTTACCATTGATCCTGGGCTTGGCTTCATTCAAGAAATTTTTGGGTTTTCTCGCCATCGTCATCCCAGGCGCAATCGCCTACTTTAAACTCTGTAAACCAGATTTCCAGTCGGCGTTCGGCGGTTTCCCACACCATCAAGTCCCACAGTACTCCCCGGCCGGGATCGGCTTCCACCCGCATCACTTCCGTGAAAATTCCTACGCGCATACAGAATACCCAAGTGTGCCGGATTACGCTGGACTCTACGAGGGTGGTCACTACGCGAGCAGCGGTTATCATAATAAAGGAGGCGGCGGCGGCGGATTTGCGTTCAAGGACAGTTCCGCACAGAACCTCGCTTACTCTGGATATCAACGCAGCAACGAGAAGGACATCCAAGCCGTCGAGACCACAAGCAAGAAGTCCATCTTACCCAGCTCCAAGTAAACTGATTGCTTCTGGCGTCGTCTCTTTGATTAACTCGTTGAACCGCCCCCTCGAGGGCAGCTTTATGCACGTAGATTGTTTGTGCATGGAGTTAACATCTGCTTCTCTTCTATGTTAATGCCTAAGTGCCAACTCTGACTGACAGTCGAAGGTTACCCGAATATGCTTTGTACATGTTTTTATTTATATTCATTTTCATTTATTTAAATATTTAATTAACTTTATGTGATATATACATACCAATATTTTATTTAAGAATAAAAATCATTATTAAAATAAATTTATTTTACTTTTAAACTTTGTTAAACAAGCAAAATAACAAAAATAAAAAAATGTTTTTGTTTGTGTATATTGGGTTGCCTAGCACAATACGCGGTAGCTGTGTTTATAAAAAGCAATTATTATCTTGTTGTGATTGGAGAAACTTTCAGAGCAGTAAACTTGTTAAGTATTTGTCACCACGATGCCAATGTTCGTAGGAAGTTGGGGGCCGGCAAATTAGCCGCCGGCAGGCAACGAAGGAAAACTCCGAAACTAATTCATCGCAGACTCCCCGAGTAACGAGGAAGTTTGTCGCAACAACAACACTGTGAGCAACGCCTACGCACCGTGTTTGTCTATTGGCATCTTCAGACTCTATCGAAGTTATAAAACCGTAAACAAGAAGTGCGCCAAGCGAGGATTTCGATCATAAATAAGTAATGAGAAACATGGAAAAAGCATCATTGTGAATTTCCGCTTCTACAATAGGAAATGACACTGAATTAGTTTATGCAAATATACAGAGTGTATTGCTTTCGCTAAACATTTAAAAATACGATTTTAAAAGCAAAACTTAAATGGATTTGATGCGGAGATGTTCTTTGTGTAACGTAGTTAGAAAACTCCTACGTCGTGTTCTCATTTTCGCGGCGTATAGAATGTTGTCGGACGAGAATATCTTGTAGAGGTTCACGTCCGAGGCCAGCATGGTACACACGTCTGAAAATGAACTTGGATCCGCACTTGGCGTGCGTGTGGTTTAAGCGAGTTGCGCACGAGCAGTGAGCGCTCCTTTAGGGCAGCTTAGCCGTTAGGGTATGCGCAACGTAGAAGTGTGCCAGAAGAGGTCAAACGCGGAAAGAACTAATGGCCTTGACCGTGCACGCTGCATTCAAGGTCCATTACTGACACACATACACGCATATTTCAGCGAGTCATCAACAGGAAAAACCACTAAATAGATTCGATTTAAAATTGGGTTAAAATTCGACGATTTACGATTATTAAAAGGTGAAAAATGTTTATTTATGACACGTTCGAAAATGTTAGCAGATGAAAGCAACTGATTAGGAGCGCCAAAGATTTTCTGACCTACTACACAGTCATAAAACGCAGATATTCCAAACGCGCCTAGACTTGATCTTTAATTTTTATTGCTGGCAATGTAAACTTTATCCTAATTTCTATTAAATTTTAAATAAAATTAAAAATGTAAATTTGGTTGCCTATAGATAAAAATTTAGGGGTTTTAGAATCAGCTCCATATAACTATTGTTTTTATTTTTATAAAATTTGGTAAAAAATGCCTAATGAAGAAAAAATGTTCTAAAATTTAACAAAATGTTAAATTGGTTGCCTATATTTAAAAATTCAAAGGTTTGAGAATCTACTGCACATTACTTTTGTTTTTTATATTAAAATCACGTAAATAAATTTCAATTAAAGAAAAAAAACAGTTTTTATGTTAAAAATTTGTTGTAAATCTGTTGCTGGTATTTCAAATTCAAATTTATGACTTTTCCACTGATGCCATGAAATCAGGCCGGAATGCAAAATGATGATTAGTGAATATCTGACCCAGACCTTGTGGCGATGTTAAAACGCGCATCTTCACCTTCTTCGCAGTGGTCTATGCGCGCACAAAATTTTCTACAGCCTCTCAACTGTGCTCACTACACATGTATTTGCACATGATGATGACCTCTCTTCTCGGATATCTTGAAACTTCGTTTTCTAACGCGCCGAGACAGGCTCAACTCATAAACCTACACAGTATCTTTTTGCCTAATAATGTTTAATTACGCGAAGTACACACCTTGCACAATTTTCACTCCTGAGTGTTATTTTTAGAGGTCAAAATCGACTTTCTTGCGTTTCCACAAACCAGTAACCTAATGATGGATAAGTATACGGTGCGCGTGAACAATGCAGATATTGCGAGTGTTTAAAGCTCACAATTCACATTCAACACCCACCGATGTCCCGGAATGCGAAGACTATTAATTAATAAATAGTCTGTTAAGTGCACGTTGCCTTTGGACGACTGCAACAAAGCGCATTTTCACCATTTTCACATCCACTTCGAAGATCAAGAATAATTGCACTTTAAAGCACTTACAAAAATAAAATAAGTGAATAAAATTGTGTTTTATGAGCAAAAATAATATTCTCGGCGTATTTCCTTCGTTATTTAAGAATATCTCCAAAAATTGTTAATATATTTTAGTGATTTCCATGAAACTACATTAGAATTAAATTCTAAATGTAATTGCAAAATAATTGGTACTCTGACTTAACTTGTTTTTGAGTAATCACATAAAACTTAAAATTTTAATTAAAACTTACTTATTCTTAATATATTTTTTTATTTTTTATGAATGTCTCAGAAGATTTTTAACATTTTTTAATAATTTTTTTGAAAATGTATTCAAAATCTAATTCTACATCTATTTTTGAAAGAATTAGCACAGTGACTTAAACAGTTTCTAAGTAATCACTTAAAACAAAAATTTTTATTTAAAACTTACTTATTCTTAATATTTTTTTATTTTTTATGAATTTCTCATATAATTTTTAACATTTTTTGATAATTTTTTTGAAAATGTATTCATAATTTAATTCTGCATCTATTTCTGTAACAATCAACACTGTGACTTAAATAGTTTGTGAGTAATCACTTAAAACTTAAATTTTTATTCAAAACTTGCTTATTTTTAATATTTTTTATTTTTTATGAATTTCTCAAAAGATTTTTAACATTTCTTTATAATTTCTTTGAAAATATATTCATAATTTCATTCTGCATCTATTTCTGAAGAAATTAACATTGTAACTTAAGTAGTTTCTGAGTAATCACAAATTTTTATTCCAAACACGTGTATTTTAATCATTTTTATATATTTTTTATCAATTTATAAGCAAAAATAATATTCACATCCAAATTTTTTACTCGTCTGGTTCACATCCGGCAAATATAAAATATTTGCCAATGAATTTGATGCAACCTCATCCGATCACTCTCTAATTAATCTCAACCACGTTATAAATTTCTAATTAAAATTTCATTCATCGCTAAACTCAAAAAAAATCAAAAACTTTTACTTTTACTCGTAATTATTTATAAATCTACATTTTTCGGAGTAAATAAATGGGTCATGCGGATTTAGAAAATTGAATTTTCTCTGTTACAATCAATAGATTGAAATCCATGCGCGTTTGTGTGTTGGTAGTGTCTACGTTTGAAATAAATTGTCACTTTATGGCAATCAGACAACCGCGCTCCGGTGCTTTCTACACTTGATTTTTTCCATTGCCAGAGTCCTTTTTCACTCTTGACCACTTCATCCACTTGCGCCAGTGTGTTAGTCGCTCTTTCGCTTTTCTTGACTTCTTCGCCGGGCGAATATAAACAGAAAATAAACCAGAGCGGACATTTAGATTTTTTTCGCTCGACGCTCGCGTTTTTCTAAGTAGACATCCGACGTGTGTTTTTTTCATCTGGCTTCAGGTTTTACATTCAAGACGAATGAAGAGTACTTGGAGAGATATCTTGTCGGGGCGGTCGTAAAGCTGAGAACTTGATATCTTGTGGCATCAGATCTGTTTATGTCTTTTTATATTTTATTCCACGCACATGTTTCGCCAGTGTATGAGTGTTAGTGGTGTCATTATTGTTAATGGAATTTTTATTTTTATTTTTATTTGTCACGTTTTACATTTTTGATGTTTTTCAAATTTTATTAGACACAATGTTGCATGCGAGATTGTTTACAGCAATTATATTAGATAAATCTTCGATGGCATATGTTGGATGCGCGAGAAAGCTTTTCGTTCTTTTTCTTCTTCGGCGGCGCGCAGCTTCTGGTGATGCATTCGCAAAAAAGGTAAAATAGAAAGTGGAGTGCCGTACGAGAAACTTGAACTAGTTAGGTTGTGGCTGGCGCGGATTGAAGTCGTGTATTAGTTGTAAGATAGATAGATATATATTTTTTAAAGAAGGATTTGACTTTCAGGATACGCGCATAATTTATTTATGAATGATTGCTGGATCGATATCGCTCAAAAGACGCACGTTGCATGATTTACGATTCACTCATACTTTCGTTTGCCAACTTTCGTATTTGTGCATAATAATTAATAATTCACAAGGCAGCAAGGGATTAAGTTTGTATTATTTTTTGTCATTTTCTTAGAAGATTATTGATGTATTTTTATGATTTTTTGGAAATATATTTAGAATTTAATTCTGCATCTAATTTTGAAAGAATTAGCACTGTGGCTTTAGAAGTTTCTGAATAATCACTAAAAAAGTAAATTTTTCCATAAACGCACTAATTTTTGATATTTTTTAACGTTTTTATTAATATCTCGGAAGATTATTAATATATTTTAATAATTTCTTTAAGAATTTATTCAGAATTAAATTCTATACCGAATTCTGAAGGAATTACCACTGTGACTTAAGTAGTTTCTGAGTAATCACATAAAACTTACAATTTTACTCTAAACGCCCTAATTTTTTTTATCTTCTTTTAACATTTACATTAGTATCTTGGAAGATTATTAACATATTTTGATAATTTTCTTAAGGATTTATTTAGAATTTAATTCTGTACCTAATTCTGAAAGAATTAATAATGTGTCTTAAGTAGTTTCTGAGTAATTACATAAAACTTAAAATTTTACTATAAATGCACTAATTTTTGATATTTTAAAAACATTTTTATTAATATCTCGGAAGATTAATAACGTATTTTGATGATTTTTTGGAAAATTTATTTAGAATTAAATTTTGTATCTACTTCTGAAAGAATAAACGCAGTAACTTAAGTAGTTCCTGCGTAATTCCCAAAAAACTTAAATTTTACTTCAAAACTTAAAATTTTCAAAAATTTTATATTTTTATTAATTTCCTGGAAAATAATTAAAGTATTGCTACGATTTCTTTGAAATTGTATTCAGAATTAAAT